AATCCATATAAAAACTGTAGGCATATTTGTCCAGCTGTCTTTTGTCTATTTCCAATGTAACCCCATGGACATCACTGGGTTCTCTTCCCTTTATGAAGTGGAACTGTCGAGTTCTTCAGGTAGATCCAAGGAGACAGTTAAACTGACAAGCAGTGCCGCGGGAGTGGGTCTGCTCTTGATTTCCCCCTCTGCTTCCAGCAGATATACCATGTCCACGATTGAAAATCAGGTAATTGCAATAAAAGTGGGCCCCAGCAGCATTGCTGTTGAGGACTATTAATACTTAATGGGGAAAAATGAACATTAAGACATGGTCAACAGGAGAGCCAGTACCGGAGAGGAGGGCAGGAGAAAACAAGGATGAAGAATAGGACAGTATGATTGCGATCACTTGGGAGACTGTGCATATAAAGGACACTGAAGTGTATATTATTATACAGTATTTTTATTTGTGAGGGAGAGTTCTCGGGGGGTGGGGAGTCTCAAGCAGTTTTTTTTCTTTCTGTGACTTTTGAGGTGGAAGAAGATGAGTGTGGGTGTGAGGATTTGCCTGCGTATGTGGGATAGAGAAAAGAGAGAGCTGATCCCTTCAGGTGGATTCATTGCTGGGCATGATGCTAGGCAGTCTTTGGAGAGACTGGATTGATGTGGGGGACTAAACACCAGGTAGGACCTGCTTTGATATCTTGTCCTTGGTCTTGTAAATCCTGGTTGTGTTGCTTGGGTACAATATATTCTGTGTTGCTGGATTGTAGTCATATGCATTTATCTTCTAACGGATTTGACATCAAGTACATCTGCTATTAAATGGACATAAAAGAAAGAAGTGATAAACGTCAATAAATGATTTACAGTGCAATATTGAATCCCATTGTTACCTAGGGGCAAGGGCCACTAAGAAAATATAAATTAAAAAGTGACCCCGTGTATCAGGGAGGCACCCTGTTTCAGAGGATACAGGCTCCTTTCCCCTATCTACCATCGGTTGAAGCAACCCCTCAGTGTGCCCTCCCAGTGTGATGTGTAAATAAAGGACACCCTAAATTAAGATAAAAATGTACTAGGGAATTAAATTACAATAACTGGGAAAAATGGGGATGTTAAGGAAGAACCAAAACAATAACACAAATGATAGTAAGCATCCTTACTCAACTGTGACTAAATAACCGTATATAGCAGTGTAGGGATTTCATCAGAGACGCATGACACCTGGGCCCAAATGTTCCCTTTGGTCAGGATGAAAAGAAGAGAAGACAGAAAAGAACTCCAAGAAAATAAACCCCTTTTACATTTCGAGGCGTCAGTGGTATTAGGCTGGATGGTGCCGTGCTGTCAAGGCCTGAGACCTACTATCCTAGAGCTAATTGAAAGCTCTCAGGGAAGAACTCCAGGGAGATCCCTGTGGAGAACTTCTGTGATGGTGGTGGATCACTGATCATTGATATTAACTCTTCTCTCTTCCTTGTCACCCTGCTGTGGTGGTCTGATGCTTACAGGAGCATAGATGGAAGAAGCCACACCCCCTCAGCAGCTGCGTAGGGCCTTAAAATGCTTCTGTGGTGCAAAACTCTGAGGTGATGGCATGTTCTGCTTGTTGGGAAAAACCAGTTATGGCTGATGAGAGCCAGCACAACTCAGAGTCTCCAGCTGCTGACAGGCATTCTGACCAAAATGGAGTCCTTGGGTCCAAAGTTCACTGCCTCCATTTTGAATGGTTTTAACTGACCTGTTTTAGTCCCAACACCATGCTGAAACATCATCAGTACAAACAATAAGTTTTCAAAACATTTACATTAGAAAGATGCGGAGAAGCCAGCAGAACATTTTAAAAGTGACTGTCTTTCAGCTTTTCAACGGAAACATTAAAAACCTTCACAGAATTAAATTGGAACCCCTTTAGTAGGAGATGATGATTTGAGAAGGAAATGTCTTTTTCTGATTAAATCAATGGAGGTTGCATTCATTAGCGCAACATTATGTTCATTACCTCTAGTAATACAGATGATTGATTTTATATTTTATAGTTTTATTTCCACATCACAGTGACTAGTGCATGTTTTAAAGGCCTGATAGTTGTAGCTGATTGCAAATTTATAGCACATTTATTTTCTTATATAATTCTGCTTTAGTTTTGCCAACTCTGATTCTTTAAGCGGCGTTTCTTTAAAAATAAAATAAAACTGAATCAAGCGTTTTGATCAGAATATTTTTCTTCTGAGGTCAGTGAGAGACGTTTTGCTTTCAGTTTTATGCTGTGGAATGTTTCAGTTTGCTTGTTCTTTTTATGAGTTTGATTTTCCTATTAACTTGCATTGCTAAAACAGACCTCTTGAAATACAAGAAAATACCAGGAGATGGCAGTGTACAAAAACTAATTATAAAATATGATGTGGAAAATTAACTGCATTTCACATTTAAAATGGTGTTGCCGTATTTGCAAAATTTATACATATTCGTATAAGGCAATTCTGGGATGTTTATTGAACAGGTGAAATTAGTGGGTTTATTTAGTGTAGATTAACTGATACAGGTTGGACCTTGCTAGTCCAGCACCCTCGGGACCTGATTGGTCCCAAGGGAGGGGATTTGCCAGGCCAGGGAAGGTCCCTCCTCTTGTGGCCATGATGCCACCGGGCTAGGGCTCCAGCCTGCCCCCGCTGCTGCCTTAGCCCCCTGGGTCCACTGCTGCCGGGGCTGGAGTACCATGGCCAGAGCTGCACAGCTGGGGCAGTGCTCCGCAGCCACCTGGCTCTGCGGCCGGGTGGAGGGACAGGGCTGCAGCTCCGCAGCCTGGGTCAGAGCTCCCTGGCTGCCACTGGGGCTAGAGTTCCCCAGCCTCTGGAGCCAAAGCACAGCCCGAGCTCCCTGGCCAGGGCCGGAGATCAACACTGTGCTCCTGACAGAGTCGCTGATGCCGCTTACAGTACTCCTGCCCTGCCGCCAGACCGCCATCTTCCTGGGCTCTGTGGTCCAGGAACATCCGTGGTCCATACTGGAGTCCAGGGTAAGGGAGGTACAACCTGTCATTTATTTTAGTAAAAATGGGCTTGAGTATATTATCAAGTGTGACATATCCTGTAATTGCTTGGGTACACTGGACAGGACCAGAAGATGTTAAGATATAGTTGGATTAATTCAGTATTGTAATATGTAATTCAGCATTATGTTTGTAGAGAAAGGTGCACTTATGATTTAATCCTTTTATATCTCTTATATGTTCTATTATGTCATTCTTCCATCCATTCCATAAACAGTATTAAGTTCTCACAGACCACTCTGTCTAATTTATTCATAGCATTGTGTAGACTTCTTGAAACAGAACTACATGCTGTCTCTATTTTTCAACTTTGAACTTTCAGTTTTTGTATCCTTTAATTCCAGAGATCAACTCTAACTTTGGGTTTTGCACTGAATAATTTGATTTGTATCTATCTGCATAATTGAAAACAATGTAAAAAAATTACATAGGTATCATTAGTGTCCCCATAATTAAGGTTTTGGTTAGTTGTAGTGGGGGAGAGGAGGGAATGTATAAAATGTATATTTCTAAAATTCTGCTCTTTAGAGGACTGCTTTAATATTTGTTAAAGTTTCAAATATATATGCTCAGTAGTTTTAGGATTTTGAAGCAACAGAAAATGTCTGCTTTTTTTTAGATTTTAGGGTTGGGCTTTCTCATATAAAAGCCAGTTTTAATTAAAAAAAAAAAAGAAAAAGAAAAAAAAGAACCAAGGTCTGGATTTTCCCCTTCTGCGTTAACAACCATAGGGGATTTCGAAGAGAATTTCCTTGTAAAGTTTCCCTATGCTGAGAAGAAGGATTTGCCTCTCACCATGGAACAAGCTAAAACGAAAACCCAACAGCCCAACTCAGAAGGCTGTATACCTCTATTCTGAGGCTATGCCCCAGGCAGCGCATCTTAAATGGAGCATTGTTTCTGATGCTCCTCTGCTCTCTCTCTCTCTCTCTCTCTATATATATATATTCCTTGAACACCTGTTAAAGACAAGAGTTCCCCCTGCAAAGGGACCCTATGGAAAAGGTAATGAAGTGGTACCCAGGCAATTCCATTGATTTTAAGGGTTGTTGAGCATGTGTAAATGTAAAACAGAGTTTGTCTGAAATCATCAAAGTCTGGGCATTATTTATCCCACATCAGCTGGTGTTAGAGAAGATGTTTTCCTGATCTGGAAAGAGTTGGAAGAGGCCAGAAATGCACTGATACAACTTCAGAAAATTTTATCAGAGTCTGACCTGCCTGTTTCTGGAAAAGGTATTGTTTATAGTTCCCTATAGAAAGATACCATTGTGTTCATGATTAATTTGTTTCATATGTGGGCTGTTTTGACGAACTGCCTCCTTATGAATGATTTTTCTTTTTAAGACCATTTATAATAAGCAGAGCCAGTTGTGACATCTATAGTTATGGTTTTGTGCGCTTACTTTTATAAACTTTAATTTACAGTTTATTTTAACTTTGTTAAACTTTCTGGGTGAATTTTTCCATGCTTGCTCTCTGCCTTTTGGAAAGGTTCAGCAAAAACTACTCCATTGTCAGGGATGGTGTCCCTGGCCTCTGTTTGTCAGGGCTGGGAATGAGTGACAGGAGAGGGATCACTTGTTTACCTGTTCTGTTCATCCCCTCTGGGGTACCTGCCATTGGCCACTGTCAGAAGACAGGATACTGAGCTAGATGGACCTTTGGTTTGGCCTACTATGTTCATTCTTATGTTCTTAAGGTACAGCGTATAATTACACAATCACATGCTATTAGTTCTACAGAACTTCTGCTTCATTCAGTACACAGGTTTGGCAGTGAATGAGACAGGGATTCAGGGAAAGAAAGGACATACTTTGGAATAGTACTATGGAACTAAGTTCCATTTGTGGGGTTGCCAGATACTGATGTTGTGCAAGATTTTCCTAATAAATATGTGCAAAGGACCTGAATTAAGGTTACATGTACAATTTTAATCCTGGCATGTTCCAATTTATAAGTGCTTGACTTGGCAAATTTAATACTGTTTTAATGTACTTTTAATATATAATCACTGTATATAATTAAAAATATTTGTATCATACACCAGATTTAATTAAAGAAAACATTATATTCAAGTATGATGTATAGCTGAACTCTGTTAGCTCATCCCTCTCCTGTCACTCATTCCCAGCCCTGATAAACAGAGGCCTCGGGTTTGTAATTTTTGGCCCAAGTATCGTATATTAATCTTCTTTTTCAATAGCTTACAGAAACTCTTTGGTGTACTATACTTAGTGCAACTAGTTATGTATGTTTTCAAATCAGCAACCAAAACTGACCCTCCAGTGCTTGAGACAAAACCTGAGGATTATATAACTTCTAAAAAGTGGTTGCAGAAGAATGGCTTGAAAGCTCAGAAGCTGACTTTGTATGAGGCACTAGCTGACTGCACTTTTCGGCATGCTGACGGGGTGGTTGACATAAAAGCCAAGCCAGAGGATGAATCTTTACAAACTGATGCTGTAAGTACTGTTAAGTATGCCTCAAATGCTGTGATCTTTTTAGCTTTTGTCTGGTTTTCTGCTTCTCAGACTTGTGACAACACTTTATAGATGAGCCTCTTACACAGCATGTGGTCTGTCACTCCATTCTTATTTGGAGGATTGCAATAAAACTTTGTTAACGGAACAGGATGAAAAGGTTCATGTGAAATGGAATGGAGGTGACCTTCTTTTTGCCCTAAAAGGGCATCTTAGCCTCTCTTTCCTCATTCACCATGTAATCCGCCACAAAGGCTGGGGGAATGGTTTCAACCTGCTTTTCCTTATCTTCATAACTCAGTAGAATAGAGCAAGTGAATGTTTACCAGTTTCTTCTCTGTTCCACATTGGTCTAGGAGAGGTAGAGTTGCTCTAATACTACTGGGTTTCAAAGCAAAATGTGTGGGATTGGATTATTCTGTGTTTTGCTTGCTTTTCCTAAACTCTATCAGAGCACTTTTCATTATACTACTTCTCCTGTTCTTTCTAGCTAAGAGCAGGCCAAGGAGGACAGGGAAACAGTTTCTATTGATTTCTTATCAGGAGCTAATGTCTTGAACAGGCTTATAGTCTGTGGCTACTTCTGCAGCTATGCAGTTGCAGCAGGTATAGATCCCTGCCTTTTCAGTGTATTTTTTTTTCAAATATTGTTAAGTATGTTGCAGAGATCACATTTTAAAACACCTTGCCCTTGTAGGAGACGAATAAAAAAATAATCCATGCCAAATACTGTGATAAATTTGTACACACTTACTGGAAAGATGGATCTGTGGTTCATGTGTATGTTTCTACTGAGAAGTACAGGCAGTATGAAGAGAGAATGAAGAACGCTCTTGGACAAATGGAAAGAAGGTTAGTTTGGTTTCAAATGAAATCTGTTTAGATCTTTGCAGTAATGCAGAAAAGTGTAAAGTTTACAGCCATGGCTGATGGAAGCAACTAGTAAGCACCCAATAAAAGTTATAAAGCAGTTATCATCTTTTGTAAGTCTGATGTGTATGTGTAGGAACACTTAGTATTCATTTACTAGAAAAGACTGATGTATGTATTGAGCAGTTTTGTAACCTTCCGTTCTTCTGAGTGGAAGGAAAAACAGTCTGTTTTCTGCAACCAGGAGTGTATGATCAGTGAGATGTATTAATATAAGAAGTTGAAAAAATTACCTTTTAGTAAAAGGCACTAAGGTACTTCAGAATTTGCAATGAAACGAGATAGGCATTTATTCCAAATATCTGTGAGCTGAAAGTTTCTTCTTCAGATCAGACGCTACAATAATAAATACTAAGTTAGATAGATGATAATTTATAATTGTTTGCACATGTATAACACCTTCCATTAGAGCATCTCAAGTGTATCTCTTTGCAGAGGAGCCAGCAATAATTGCAATCCCTCTGCTCTTCTGGGAGCACAGATTGTTCCCAGTTAGTAGTACCCACCCCAAGAAAAGGTGGAGTGGGGGTTAGGCTATGACTCTCTGGTACATTGTGGGAATCACTTAGATTAGTCATGGATTCTGTCCACCATCTGCTCTGTAATCTTGAGTGCCTTAATGATATGCACTTATGACATAAAGCAGTGGTGGGCTGCACATGGCCCAGCGGTGTAGCCAATAGGGGAGAGCTGGAGGGAACAGGAGACATTGGGCTGCCTCCCCCCATACTGGTGTGTGTGTACATGTTGACCAGAGGTCCTAGGGATATACCCAGAGAGCAGGATCCATGCATGAGGGCTTGCCCTGTTCTGCCTACCTGCCTGGCACTCCACTCCAGAAGCGGGTTCTAGCCCCGCTCCTGACACTCCATGGCTGGAGTGTGGAGCAGGCTGGCGGAGGGGGGCAAGATCTGGGGCATGAGGAGTGCCATTGTGGGCTGCGGGGCTGAGCCTGGATGCAAAGTGCGTGGTCCACAGCCCACTTAGGTCCATTCACGGCTATGCCCTTGACGCTGCCCATCAGGGTAACCTGCTGGGAGGTTGCAAGACAGTTTGTTTACATGGCCCTCTGCAGGCACAGCTCCCTAGAGTTCCCACTTGACCCAGTTTGCTGTTCTCAGCCAGCAAGAACTGTGGGAAGTGGTGACCAGCATGTCCTGCGGCCCTTGCTGCTTCCTGCAGCTCCCATTGTCTGGGAACAGCAAACCAAAGCCAGTGAGAGGTATGGGGGGGCCCATTTCTGTGGAGGGTCAATGTAAACAAATGGTCACATGGCCTGCCAGCAGATTGCCCTGATAGGGTGCAGGTTGCCCACCACTATCTTAGAGCCAAGGTACTCCTTGCAGGGTGCCTCCAACAGTGCTTCTAGCCCTCTTAACTACCAGATACGTGGATTTTTCCCCTCTGGTTTGTCACCCCCAGAGGTGTGAAAACTGACCTGTTATCAGTTCACATTTACTCTCACATGCAGTTTGCACAACAGAGACCTGCTTCTTGGAGTAGAACCAAACAAAGGTTTGTGTAATAGAAAAATCAGAGATTCAAAGATTAATTTATGAGGAAAAACAAATATATACAAGTCACACAGAGAATAAATACACAGTCTCAGTCTTTCTATTTAGATAAATTCACTTTTCTAATGTAAGTTACCTATTGACTGAACAGTTTTGCAGTGTGCCCCAGAGTTCCACGGACAGCACCATGCCTAGGTGCAGACTCAGTTTTTGGATATCCTTCACTTCAAACCTCTTCTCTCTTAAGGATTTGCAATTTTTCTTTCTTTCTCTGAGACTCTGGGGATACATAGATGGTGGAAATTCCCTTCTCTCTTCATTTTCCAAGACTGAGGGTTTTGTTAACATTTCAAGATATTGCAGTGTTTCCTCATTAATTCCACTGCTGTCACTTTCTGACTGGGCAATGGAAGGGTACTTGAAGTTAGTTTTGTGTGAACAGCTAATCTGGACAGTGTTTCATGTTTGAAATACAATATTGTATTTCCTGCCTGATTGCTTCACTCCTCTGTGAGATTGCACCATAGCCACATTGTTCAAAACATATATGCACTCTTATGTTCATAGCCATGACATGTGTACACCTCTCCCAATGATCATGAGGGTGAGAACATCACAATATTTCATAAAAGATCTTTCTTGATTATATATTTATACACAATAACATTGTATACAACCATGTGATTCCGTTGTTTATTCTTTGGGGTTCAGACCTTTTGTTCCCCTCTTGGGGTATCTGAATCCTGATTGTCACACCCTGCTCTGTGCCCTAACTAGATCTTCTGTCTAGCCAAAGAAAGGTGCTTAGTTCTAGAGATGGCTCAGCAGTGGAGCTCCCTAGGAGCTCCAAGAGGCCATTTGCTTCTCTAAAGCATAATCCTTCCCAGAGCATCTGCTGGTACAGTGCTGCTCTTCCACACCCAGTGGTTTGGTGTACAATTAATAGGCATCATATGGCCCTTATTGTATTTGTCTATAAGGGGTTATAACAGAAATAATTGTGTTCTAGGATTTTTCTCTATAGTTTTTCATGTTTCTTCCCACCAGGGGTATCAGTGCCTAAATATATTTAGCAACATCTAGGTTTTTGTTGTTATTCCTTGGATTATCCTATCTTCATCATCTTCTGGTTGAAGTTTACATGCCAGTGAAAGCTCCTAGGAGAAGATTTGAGAGTCAAGAATATTGTATTTCAAATCTGAAGACATCAGCATAGATTTTCTATTTTACATGGCTTGTCCATTAGTCATGAAACTTTGGTAGCATACATCAAATGCTTTTGTGAAATACTCAATGAAAAAATGTCATTTAGCAGCAAATATGAAAGGAATATTTTATTTTCTGTGGCATCAATCTCCTTTTAACTTGCATAGAGGCAAGTAATCTTTATTTCATGTCCATTGCACCATTTATTAATAGCCCATGCTACAATGTATGCAGGAGCTACAGCTCTCCAGAGGAACCTACAATGGAACTAGTTAGAGGCATGAATCAGGAAAGCACTCAAGCACACATTTAACTTTAAGCCTGTACTTAAATCCAGTTAATTTAAAATTAAGCATGTGATTAAGTCTCCATTTGAGTAAGGCTCGTTTAAATTCCTAACATTACTGTTATTTAAAGGGCTTAAGTTTCATGCTGAATCAGGGGTCTGCTCATTCTGGAAGATTATTGATTTTATAATGTTACCATATTGCTTTTTGCTCCCTGTCTGTCCAAAATATTATTGAAATGTTGCCTTTTACAGCATGACACCATGTTCAGTTGGCCAGTTATTTTATTTATTTATTTTTTAGGGTTAAATGGCTTCAGCAGGGAAGCAGAGGACTCTTTGGGAATGTGCTTGAAGATCATGTCTATATTCTCATTGACACATCTCAGTCTATGAAGAACAAACTTCCACTTGTGAAGGAGAAAATATTTCAGCTCATTCAGGTTAGATTCAGTGGGGATTCCAGTGACCTGATACGTGTGGAATTCTAGCATTTACAGTTCATTGAAGCTTTCTTTCCATTGTTTTCAGTTAAATTTATCCATTTTAAAAAAATGGAACATTTTGCAAAAACATTAGATTTTCCTAAAAAAGCTCTCAGTTCGGGTACCTAGTATCAGCCCTCAGCAGCAGAGAACAGGGTGTAGTGAAAATCCAGCTCAGCCCTGGGCTGGATCATGCCCCCTGTGGATAGAATTTGTTGAGATTTTAGGTACGTGCTAGCAACTCTCTACTGAGTGTATGTGAATTATGATTTTTTTGCTCCAAAGGCTTATAATTAGAGGTGGGTGACACATTTTTTTGACAAATAGTTTATTAACCACAAAGTGAATTTTGGGATTAACCAGACTAGTTTGTGAATTTGTGCAGAGTTCACTGAATATTTTGACTGAACTGAAAGAGTAAAAACATTTTGGTAATATTGCAGTGAAACATTTCATTTCAACCTGCATACATTTTGTTTGGACTTTCAGGCATTTTGACAAAAACAAAGAATTTATGAAATAGCTGGTGGTGAAGGAGAAAGTGGTTGTGGTGCCACTCCCTTCCTTATAATCTTTAGCTCAGAGGCAAGGGCATTCACCGGGAGATCCATGTTTAAAGCTAAGATTTTGCTGGGGATATTTTTAGTAAAAGTCACTGCTAGGACTTGGGCACAGAAGCCTGAGCCCTGTGACTTGGGGCTGGAATCAAAATCCCTCCACCCAGCGCTTATAGCCTCTGGGGGCTGACGTTGCAGAGGTCACATAAAGTCATGGAGTCCGTTATTGACTCGTAGCTTTACCCATGTTTTAATTCCCCCCTCTGCCTGATGAGGAAAAGGGGTTAGAACTTGGGTTTCTCACATTAAAGGTAAGTGCCCTAATTACCAGACCACAGTCATTCTCATTCTCATTGTCATTCCAAAGTGGAAAGTCATTCACGACAAAATTATAAGCAACCAGAGGGTCTTATAATGGGAAATGTCAGGCAAACTAAATACAGATTAAACTTCTAAAGTCCAGGACTTTCTGGTCTGGCAACATCTATATGGTTTGGCAGAATCACAGATATTGCTGGATCGGAGATCCCTGGCTGACAAGGTTCAGGGGATGGAAGTGCAGCTTGGGTGGCAGCAGGCCAGTGTGGTGGAGAGTACAGCCCTGCCTGGGCCGCAGGCATTGGGGGCTGGTGCCCGGGAGTGCAGCCCTATCCGGGCTGGAGACAGTGGGGCCTGGCGCCCCCAGTGCAATGGGGGGGCGGGTACAGCCCTGACCCCAGACAGGAGCTCAGCTTTGGCAGGACTGGAGTGGGGAGCAGGGCTGCCAGCCAGGAGGGGAGTCTCCTGAGCGTGCCAGAACAGGGAGGTCCTACCTGTAATAGGTAATGCTACTTATCCCCCACCTAACATATATGTATAAAGAATACTTGTTATTATTTATTGGGATTATACTATCAATTATATGTGAACGAGAACTGCTCTTGTGGATGTTGCTCTCCAAACTTAACACGGGCTCATTTTTTTTTAAATATTGAGGAAAGTGCAACTGACTATCTCTTACAGGAGCAGCTAAGAAACAAACACAGATTTAACTTTGTGAAATTTGATGCTCAAGCAGTAGCGTGGCAAGAGAAACTCACTGAAGTTAATGAAGAGAATTTGCAAGATGCTTGGCTTTGGATAAAAGAATTGGAGGTAAATTAGAGAGGAACATATAAAGGAACATGTATAATCTAAGTTACACTTACACCCCCTATTTGTATATTAATCTTTCTTTAAGTTAATTTGACTAGTAATGTGGCAAGTTTGCTGAGGAATTCTAAAAGGCATTTCTATGCAGTAGTTGTATAGAGTTTGTATTTGATTTTAGTGGAGCTGAGAGACAGAGTATTAGAAAAGTCTAACAGTTTTATATTGAATATTTATTATATAACATAAAAAGCATGTCCTTATGATACTAAAATTATTTAGTAATATGTATATATTTAAGTGATTTATTTGTGGAGTTCCTGGGGTGGGCAAAGTGAAGAAGCTGCATAAGGATTTTGAAGCTGTGAATTAAATATAAAGAGAATATCTTAATATATCTAAGATATATTGTAAATTGTAAGAAACTGTATATAGAGAGGAGGAGAAAACATTAACCTCTGAGTAAGGACTTACTGAATGTTTAGAATCAGAGAACAGATAGTTTTGTGCATTTGAAATTGAATTTTCTGGACTTCCTCCATTCCCTGCAAATAAATTACTGCTTTAGTAAAGCCACATATGTTTAACCATATCATGCAATATTGTACATACTTTGAAAAGGGATCTATTTGGCATAATTTCAGCCAGTCAGTGAGGAACATCCATTTTCTTTGTTTTTCAGTAGGGTTGGCTAAGTGATTGTCTTTAGGTTTGCCAGATACCTTCACAAAAAATCCCAAACACGATGGGGGGAAAAAATTGGTTGATCAAAAAAAAAAAAAAAAAAAAAAAAGGTGGTGGTGGTGGTGGGGGAGAACCAGACTTGTTGAGCAAAAGAAAGAAAAAAAAGACACTGTGCCTTTTAATTCTTGCGTGTTCCCAGATGCGGCAGGGGGAAAATGGCCCCGCCGGCCTTCCGTCCAAGAGAAGGTATTTACATGTCCGGTATTTTCTGGATTTTTTTTTAACCGGACAGAAGACGTGATTTTCAGACTCTTGGGGTGTAAACCGGACACCTGGCAACCCTGGTTGTCTTTATGAATTTCCTGTCATGCACTCAGCTCTATCTCTTTTTGTTCTTGTTCTATTCCCTGTACTTTTCAAACTATTGCCAAGCATGACATCTGTGGTTGACCTTCAGTGCTCTTAAAACAAGATGCATATTAAGGATGTTAACGACTAGTTGACCATCCAATAAGCTTTTGCTTTTGCTTAAGTTTTTCCCCCCCCCCCCCCCCCTTGCTGTCTCTATCAGATAGAGGCAGTGGGGAGCGGGGAACGGGTACTTCAAAGGGGCAGTGCTGCATAGCTGAGCCCAGACTCAGCTGTGAAGCACTGCCCCTTTGAAATGCAGAGGTGGCATTCAAAAGGTAGCACCTCACAGCTGATCCCTGGGTTCTAGGGAAATGCTGCGGGGAGCCCGGGATCAGCTGACAATCCCCAGGTGACCCTGGTTCTGTGTGGCTTTTCAAATCCGCAATGCAGCATAGAGCCTAAGGACTCCTGTACATTTCAAAGCTGGCACACCGCGTGCAGCCTAGAGTCCTCGAGTATTCCACTTTCTGCCTTCTAGCGGGGACTCTTGTACATTTCAAAGGAGGAATGCAGAAGTGCCCATTGACAAGTCAAGTAGTCGATGGAAATTCCATGAACTACTCGACTAGTCACTTAACCACTATTTAACATCCTTAGTGCATATAAGTCTGGGATCAGAAGGTGGCTTTAAAAAGAAAGTAAAGGAGAGCAGCAAACGACTAGGATTCATTGTCGGAACATCCTTTGCAAAGCCCCTTCCTTTCACTAAGGGCATTGCTCTGTAGTCACTAAAATGGAGCACCCAGAGGGACACTCTTTGAAGAAGAGGAGGAGGAGGAAGAGGAGGAGTTACTTACCTTGTACAGTAACTGAGATTTTAATATGGATATTCCTGTGGGTGCTCCACTGTTCATCCTCTTCCCTTCTGATTTTGAGTTCAAAGATTTATGCTGTGGTGGATAAGGAGTGGAGGGTAGTTTGGTTGCACTGTGCTATGTAGCATCCAGGAGTAGTGCAAAACAGGAAGAGATCATGTGTGGCCCAAATGTGTCCTACTATTGAAAGTCAACGATTTTCAGCCAGAATGGAGAACCCATAGAGACACCCATTTTGAAGAACCACAGTTACTGTACACGGTGAGTAACTCTCTCGTCAGCCCTTTGATTCCAAAGTTACACTTGTTTGCACAGACATGGAATACTGAATTAGTGCAAATTATACTATTTTACCATGTACATCAACTTTTTTGAACAGCTGACACACAACACGTAATTTATCTCATCTCACTGCCTTATTGTAGTACCTGTAGTTGCTAGAAAAAAGCTCATGGTCTGTTTTAGCAGCTTAGCAATATTTTGTGTATTTCTCTCTCTCATATTTTGGTTTTTAGGTTGGAAGTTCCACAAATACACTCAAAGCACTTCAAATTGCTCTTGCTGATAGTGACACTCAAGCCATTTATCTTCTTACTGATGGGAGACCTGATCAGGTATTTGTGAAACAAGAAAATAGAAATGGAATGAGAACCCCCTCATCCATGGGATGGTTTGGCATGACTGCTCAGGGCTCCCTGCTTTGGGGGTCCCGTAGGGCCCAAGAAGGCCTGGGGCATGCCCCCACAGTTGCCAGCAGGAGCCACGGGAAGCGGAGTGACTAGTAGCCTTCTTTGCCTGGGCTGAGCTGGGCTTGGGGAAGTAGAATTGACTTGGTTGGAGCCGGGTCACTCCGCTTCCTGTCACTGCGGTGAGCGTGGACAGTGACCTCTTCTTCTGGCACCAGGCCCCCTAGTAATTTCCAGAGTCGCATTGCTTGGGGAAGGGATAGAGTGGGGGTAGGGCAGGGCCAGAGCAGGAGTGGGAAGAGGAAGGCTGGGGACAGAGCTTGGATGGGACTTAGGGAAAGGGTGGAGTGCAGGAGGGGTGAGGGCTGAGCAGGGATGGGAAGAAGTAGGGCAGGACCTAGGGTGGAGGCGGGTTGTCCTGCACCCTGCATTCTTGAGATGGCCCTGGCTGGAGTTGTGTGATGATGTGGTGGTAGTAGCAGAATGCCAAAGCACTGCTTTAGGGATGAAAAAAATATCCAGGAGACTCAGTCATTTGAAGTTGTCTGTTGCAAAGTTGATTAATTTTAGCTCTGAACTAGTGATAATGGGGATTATGGATTTATATCCTGAACTCTTTAACAGCAACTCTGTTTTATCTGATGTATGGCACCTAATATAATTCTGTAGGAAGCTTTTTTAATCAACTGGTGGCTGCCTAAAAAGCTGATGGGATATTTTAAAATCAAAGATTAAATAGTGAAACTTGTATATATTGTAATATTCATAGAAAAAGTCTCATGAATTAAGAAATGGAGAAAAATTGAAAATCTAATATATTTGGATTTTAAGACCCTCTCCCCCTTGCAGCATTACAACTGGAACCTTGCAGTCTTGTTCTCTGCATGAGAATCAGAAAGTGATAATGACTAGTGAGAGGATAATAAGATGCTCCTTCAGCTACAACACTTCCTCCCATTCCCAAGTAACATATACAAAGTAGGCAATACAACCCCCCCCCCCTTGCTGTCTCTATCAGATAGAGGCAGTGGGGAGCGGGGAACGGGTACTTCAAAGGGGCAGTGCTGCATAGCTGAGCCCAGACTCAGCTGTGAAGCACTGCCCCTTTGAAATGCAGAGGTGGCATTCAAAAGGTAGCACCTCACAGCTGATCCCTGGGTTCTAGGGAAATGCTGCGGGGAGCCCGGGATCAGCTGACAATCCCCAGGTGACCCTGGTTCTGTGTGGCTTTTCAAATCCGCAATGCAGCATAGAGCCTAAGGACTCCTGTACATTTCAAAGCTGGCACACCGCGTGCAGCCTAGAGTCCTCGAGTATTCCACTTTCTGCCTTCTAGCGGGGACTCTTGTACATTTCAAAGGAGGAATGCAGAAGTGCCCATTGACAAGTCAAGTAGTCGATGGAAATTCCATGAACTACTCGACTAGTCACTTAACCACTATTTAACATCCTTAGTGCATATAAGTCTGGGATCAGAAGGTGGCTTTAAAAAGAAAGTAAAGGAGAGCAGCAAACGACTAGGATTCATTGTCGGAACATCCTTTGCAAAGCCCCTTCCTTTCACTAAGGGCATTGCTCTGTAGTCACTAAAATGGAGCACCCAGAGGGACACTCTTTGAAGAAGAGGAGGAGGAGGAAGAGGAGGAGTTACTTACCTTGTACAGTAACTGAGATTTTAATATGGATATTCCTGTGGGTGCTCCACTGTTCATCCTCTTCCCTTCTGATTTTGAGTTCAAAGATTTATGCTGTGGTGGATAAGGAGTGGAGGGTAGTTTGGTTGCACTGTGCTATGTAGCATCCAGGAGTAGTGCAAAACAGGAAGAGATCATGTGTGGCCCAAATGTGTCCTACTATTGAAAGTCAACGATTTTCAGCCAGAATGGAGAACCCATAGAGACACCCATTTTGAAGAACCACAGTTACTGTACACGGTGAGTAACTCTCTCGTCAGCCCTTTGATTCCAAAGTTACACTTGTTTGCACAGACATGGAATACTGAATTAGTGCAAATTATACTATTTTACCATGTACATCAACTTTTTTGAACAGCTGACACACAACACGTAATTTATCTCATCTCACTGCCTTATTGTAGTACCTGTAGTTGCTAGAAAAAAGCTCATGGTCTGTTTTAGCAGCTTAGCAATATTTTGTGTATTTCTCTCTCTCATATTTTGGTTTTTAGGTTGGAAGTTCCACAAATACACTCAAAGCACTTCAAATTGCTCTTGCTGATAGTGACACTCAAGCCATTTATCTTCTTACTGATGGGAGACCTGATCAGGTATTTGTGAAACAAGAAAATAGAAATGGAATGAGAACCCCCTCATCCATGGGATGGTTTGGCATGACTGCTCAGGGCTCCCTGCTTTGGGGGTCCCGTAGGGCCCAAGAAGGCCTGGGGCATGCCCCCACAGTTGCCAGCAGGAGCCACGGGAAGCGGAGTGACTAGTAGCCTTCTTTGCCTGGGCTGAGCTGGGCTTGGGGAAGTAGAATTGACTTGGTTGGAGCCGGGTCACTCCGCTTCCTGTCACTGCGGTGAGCGTGGACAGTGACCTCTTCTTCTGGCACCAGGCCCCCTAGTAATTTCCAGAGTCGCATTGCTTGGGGAAGGGATAGAGTGGGGGTAGGGCAGGGCCAGAGCAGGAGTGGGAAGAGGAAGGCTGGGGACAGAGCTTGGATGGGACTTAGGGAAAGGGTGGAGTGCAGGAGGGGTGAGGGCTGAGCAGGGATGGGAAGAAGTAGGGCAGGACCTAGGGTGGAGGCGGGTTGTCCTGCACCCTGCATTCTTGAGATGGCCCTGGCTGGAGTTGTGTGATGATGTGGTGGTAGTAGCAGAATGCCAAAGCACTGCTTTAGGGATGAAAAAAATATCCAGGAGACTCAGTCATTTGAAGTTGTCTGTTGCAAAGTTGATTAATTTTAGCTCTGAACTAGTGATAATGGGGATTATGGATTTATATCCTGAACTCTTTAACAGCAACTCTGTTTTATCTGATGTATGGCACCTAATATAATTCTGTAGGAAGCTTTTTTAATCAACTGGTGGCTGCCTAAAAAGCTGATGGGATATTTTAAAATCAAAGATTAAATAGTGAAACTTGTATATATTGTAATATTCATAGAAAAAGTCTCATGAATTAAGAAATGGAGAAAAATTGAAAATCTAATATATTTGGATTTTAAGACCCTCTCCCCCTTGCAGCATTACAACTGGAACCTTGCAGTCTTGTTCTCTGCATGAGAATCAGAAAGTGATAATGACTAGTGAGAGGATAATAAGATGCTCCTTCAGCTACAACACTTCCTCCCATTCCCAAGTAACATATACAAAGTAGGCAATACAAATGGCACCTTAGAGACCAACAAAAATATATACGTTACATAAGGCATTTTGGGAGCATGTCCTGTACGTTATCTCTTTGCTTCACAGCCCTCCTGGGGCTTGTGGCTTATGTTTGCGCTATTTGGAACTGCCAGTTCTTGCTGTGCACTCCAACATCTGCTGTGAGAAATCATGGATCCCAGACTTCTCTCCTATGCTGTGATCACTATGACTAGGAGAGCATTCATTGCAGCAGAGCTACTTTTGAATTTAGTCTGAGGAAGAAGACTCGGATGCAGATGACAGTGTGAGTGGCAGGGACAGAAGTGAAGTGACATTGCATTGGGCCGTCACAGAGCAGCTGTGCACAGTAGAGCATTGATTTTGAGCTACAGAAACCAACACTGAGTAGTGGGACTGCATTGTCATGCAGGTGTGGGATAAAGAGCAGTGGCTATAGAGCTTTAGCATGTGTAAAGCAATCTTCCTGGAGCTGTATGCTGAGCTGGCCCCTGAACTGCAACACAAGGACACCTGAATGAGAGCGGCTCTCTCTAGAAAAATGTGTAGCCCTTGGTTTGTGGAAGCTGGCGACTCCTGACTGCTACCGTTCAGTTGCAGATCTGGAGTGGCGAAGTTGACCGTTGGGGGCAGCACTTATATAAGTGTGCAGGGCAATAAATTGCATTTTATTGTGTAGGACTGTGTTTCTGGGAAATGTGGATGACCTAGTGTCTGTTTTAGCAGAAATGGTCTTTTCAAACTGTAATGGGGCAAATGATGGCACACACATTCCCATTGTAGCGCCACCCACCTTGCCACAGAATAAATCAATCAGATTACTTCTTGATTGTACTTCAGGTGTTTATGGATGATCATCATGAGTAGTGGGAGAAAGCCCAGCTAGGAAAGGCAAGCCTGAGACCCTGCCCCTTCTGCAACCTCCCCCACTGTGGAGTCAAGCCTGGCCTTGCCCCAGTTGGTGGAACCTATCAGTGGGGGGAGCATATTTGCCTTCTCAAGGTCTGGTCTGGAAAAATAACCATTAACAGGAATAGAGTGACTGTTCTATTCCTAATAAAGATTGAAACATTTCACTAATGTGCACTTCTCTGAATACAACCTGTCACTTTCCCTGCTACCCTAGAGGCAAATGCAGATCTCTCCAGACATTCTGAAAATGGTGAGTTTTAAAGGTGAGGAGGGAGGAAAGGAGGAAGGTTGGGCATAAGCAAGTGTGGTCCTCTCTTGTGCAGCAAGCATACATGGAGACAATTCTAATAATCCCCCATTTGTCCATAGGCTGCCATTACTCTGACTGACCTCTCCCTACTGAGGGCTTGTCTAGACTATGCTGAAGTTTCAAAAAAGAATATGCAAAATC